ACTAAAACTTTACTTTTTCGAATTAGAATGAGCCTATTTTATAAATATGTTTTAATAGACATCTAATTCATTTTGATTTTCTTATTATACGAAAACTTGTATTAATATGGTATGAAATCTCTAGATTTATATTAGATTCTGAAGCACTTTAATCTAAGATTGATATAAAGGAGATTCCAACTATGATAATTCTTCGTAGATTTGAATAGTTGTCATTTAAAATTACTTGAAATCATTAATATCTCATGAGAGAAAAATTTGCGTGATATAAACGAATCATTTTTTTTCTTAAATAGTAAATCAACTAGTTTTCGTCTGTAGTTCGACTATCTCAACATGATAACATCTAATGCGTGTAAAAACTCTTTTCTAAGAGTCATAATGACATTTCACAAGACAAATCTGTATGCATTTATCTTGGTTTGATTTTCTTTTCCATTGTGGGATAATAGATTTTGATGTGCTGCTAATAGTACTAGAAGTGAGTGACTTGAAAGAGAAATAGTCCTTTAGCATTCAAATGAAGACTATAGGAAAGAAAGCAGTGTTTGTTTGTTAGATTCTACTGAACAAGAAAAAAAAAACTATAAAATCAACTTTCTTGCCTATCGTTTATCGATCTAATGTCAAAGGTTTACCTTATTGGGAAGACAACTATTTGCTTCATCTCATATTCTTTTTGAAATTGATTTTTCATATTTCATAACAAAGAATTTTCTATAAAACTGGAAGAATCTTAAAGTTTGGCATTGTGATAAATGCATGGGTGTGGGTGTGGGTGTGGGTGTGAGTATTCCCCTCACTCATTCCTACATCCACACGCACACCCACACACACACCCGCACCCAAACCCACACCAACACCCACACCCTATATTATTGTTGATATTCAATGATTTACTGTTTCATTTCATAGTATTATTTTTTACATATCTATCGTTATAGAAAAATATATTCGGAATGAGAACAAAAATAAATTGAGCTATTATCGATTTGTTTTCTTTCTTAAAATAATATTGTATTATCAAATGTTTATTGGAAGAAAACAAAAAAACAATAATCTTATAAATACGTATGCATACATAAGTCTAGAGATCAGAGAAGGATCAGAAGAAAACGGAAAGATCATAGAAAAGAGCAAAGAAAATACGTGATATATTCGAACGACATCAGTCGAACAAAAATATTAACTCATACTTGGAAAAACCCAACGAAAGAAAGAGTAAAGAAATTACCTGACAAAAGTATTGACTCTCATGTTTGGAAAAATCCAACAGAAGAAAGAGAAAAAAATTATCTATCAAAAGGATTATATCATATATATAAGCTACCAATTCTATTGAGATATTATCAATTCACGTTTCGCACAGAACATAATACAATATTCTCCTACGCATTCATCATTTATTTTTTTGCAATATCAACAACTGTTAGCATATCAACCAATAAAATATCAGCATTACGACGTCTCATCCAACAGTAAGTAAGAAAAACTAACCATCAGTAAATCCTATGTAATTTCGTACAACTTGAGAAAATGGCGACGATATGTAATAAAAAAATAAAACATTTACTTCTGTTTTATGACTGTACAGCAGACTGATTTGTATTGAATCGAATACAGGTCAGTCTGTTTTTCGTTTGATCCGTTTTCAATATTACACTTCTGCGCTTTATTGTGATCCTTATTAGACTTCTTCTTTATTGTTATTTCTTCCGATCACAATATTCACCAATGATGCATATTATTAGTTCGATATGTTGTTTATCTTTTCTCATTTATGGTTTTCATTACTTATGTTATCTCTTCTTATTTTTATATCGCCTCTACAATCTATTCTTCTTCTTTCTCGCTGTTGTACACGCTCAGGAAAGCATCTCAACCGCGTTCGGAGTGCAACATTCAATACATGTGTCTTCTATTTTATCAAACACATTATTCTATTCTCTACATCTTTGTATATATAAAAACATGACGTCAGGCCTTGCTGACTCATGATTAAGGATAAATGCATACGGAAGCGATAGGTTTTTCCTATTCTTTTTTTGTTGGAGAAATATTCACATGTCCTTTTCATATGTTATTTCTTCGTTCGTCGTGCCATAGTGTCATATGTACTTTTCCATCTTTGTATAAATAAAAACATGATGTCATACATTGATGACTCATGGTTGAATGTATGAAGAATAGATCACTGGTTTTTTCCTAGTAATTTCTTTCTCTTCTGAGGATATACAATGATGCACGTGCTAAAGATCGAGTCTCTTTCCGTTGCCACGCACATTGTCTGAAGTGATCAAAAAAAAAGGGAAAAAATAGATGATTTGTAGATCAAAATGAATATAGTTAGTGCGAGTAGTGAATTTCCCTGTACACAAGTACAATTATTACAAGTTCGCAAGATGTTTGTAAGAATTTTTTTCCCACACGCGTTTTCGGAAGTTGGTGACTGCCTGAGTATCAAAAGAAGAATGAATTGTACGAAAATAATACGACATACATACGTCGATGTTTTTTCTTGTTCTACTTCTCTCTTCTTTCGTGCTATTCTCTCGATGATACCCATTAATGACATACCATAGACGATACTCATGAAAAAATAAGAAAGAAAAGGGAGAGAAGGAAGAGCAACTAAAAAGAAAAATTTTCCTATTTGTGACATAGAAGAAAAGCTGCTTTTTATAAGTTACGTAGAATTGACTTGGTGATATGAAGTTGCACGCGCGAAACAGAAGGGTGAATGAATAGGTGACATACAGACTATGATGCATCGAAAGTGCGACACATTTTATTTTAGTGTATACTCCCTTCGAAAAAGCGACATATACGATGATGATACACTTTTTGTTCTCCGAAACGACTAACTACCTTATACGACGAAACATCGAATTTCTAAATAGAAAAATAAGACGAACATGTAATGATGAAGTCTTTTCGATTGTAGAAATATTTTGAGATGTAACTTTCCTAATTACATAGACCCTGTTGAGAACAGATAGCTTCTAGCATGATTCGTACCCATAAACCTTTTTTCTCGACTTATGGACATTTTACCAGGTTTTTAGGTATTGCAAGGTATACGCTGAAAAATTGAATGTTGAAATTTTTACTAGAAATTAAATTTATCAAGAGATCTCATGGTAACTATGAAGTGTTGAAAGATTCAGTCAAGATGAATGTATCCTTCCTGAGATAATCAATCCTTGAAAAATATGGATACCGTTCATAGCTACTATGAGATCTGTTGGTGGACAAAATTTCTAGTCAAAATTCTAACATTTTATGATACACAGTATGTATACCTTGTCGTAGATCAACAATCCAGCTAAATGCCTATAACTCAAGAAGAAAGGCATATGAGGAAGAATTATTTTAGACTTTGTCTATTGTTGATATGACCTATCTTATTAGGAAAATAATATCTCAAAAGCATTTTATAACTTAAAAAAGACTCCATTGTAAGAAATTTCCGCCGAGCTCTCCATTTCATTATATCGGAGTGTCACAAAAAACAAATTAAACCGATGATGAGTTTTGGATGTATAAATGTTTGCTACAAAAATGCACGTACACGAGGATAGGTCGTTTTTTCAGGACAAAAAATGTTTAGCGTTTAAAAACACGTTTCTTTTGTGACAATCTGATAGTGTTTAAATATGTGAAAAAAACACTAGCATAAACGTATTCTTTCTGCATTTATGAGTACTAAAGAACTTAGTCTGATTGAGGCCTTGTGTGTGCAAAGTTTCAGGTCAAAATGCGAAACTTTGATTTTACCGAGGAACTGGAATTCTACAAGAAGATTGTAGTAAAACCTGAATATCTCAACCAAATCACAACTTGGGCCCATATCCTCTTAAGGTTTTTTCTAGTCTATACATTCCCTACCTGTAGGTGAAATTTGATCTCGAAAGTTTTTTGGCACTTGAAGAAGTTTCCACGTGGATAAAAGTGATCTGGTTTCGGTTCTTCCAGTTTTTAAGTCCCGATCGTGGTCCTTTCAATTTTTCGGAGTCTTGTTGTTGGTCCCGACCTAGAGAGAACTTTTTCAGAATTTCTTTGCATTGAGTTTTAAAACGTTCTTAAATATTTGGTTTTTTCTTATTGTTCAGTCGACGAATGCCACTTTTTTTGGTCATCTCTCCTGATTTTTGCTTTGATCGATATGTTTTATAACACAATTCGCCAAAAACTATAGAAAATTTATCCACAATTTTTAGTTTCATTTAAAAAAAATTCTCGTCGTAATAGTCCCAGTCCGGTTCCTGTAAATTTTTATTTGTTTGGTCCCGATTCCGATGACTGAGACTGAAACTAGAACTGGCTCCCTACATCTATAATTACCCATCAATATTTAGTTTAGTGAGCCCATTTTTTTTCTTTTTCTCCATCGTTTTCATCTGACGTAGTCGCAACTATAAAAGTTGAATCATCTAACAGAAAAGAAGTGATGACTAAGGAAAAATTAAGAAGTACTTTTTTCTGCATATTGCTGTTCTTCTCGTATTTTTTCATCACCGATCTTCTGATTTAAATAGACGAACGAAACCAATTTTTTTCCTGTGTCGCCATCTTCTCCCCTATTTTTTCCATCATATACCTTGAAATTCAGTCAGGCATCATAGAGAAAAAAAATGAAAGAAAAAGATTATCTTACTTTTTCTAACCAACCTAAATTACCGTTCTTCTAAGTCACTTAAAATAATTCTTTTATGGCAAAAAATTTGAAGTTGATCGCAAAACCTTAGACAGACCAAGAGTAAAATTTTTTCATACATCCAAACCACTATTACGATAAACATTAACTTCAAAAAATTACTTTTTTCTCTATTTCTTACTAACTAAAGATTACTATACTTTTCTCCATTTTACAAAGATATTACTATTCGATCATCCACGAGCACAGTATGAATGTATTATTGATTAGCTTCCTTCTATTCATGGCTTGTTTTACATCTAATCAATGTTACGAGGTGATGGAATCCTACACCATCGATATCATGCCAAGACGTGAAGCAATTCGGACGTTACTAAATCTGCAAGATCCAACTAATTCTACCAAACTTGGTGCTTGTCTTCCTACTCCTCCTCCCACTGATTGTAGTGACAGTTGTAGTGGTAATTGTGGTTGTAATTGTGTTGGTCCTCCTGGTTGTGTTGGTACTCATCAATGAACAGATTTGCATGGCCAGTAGAGAAAAGACTACTATACTTTATTTTCTATTCAAAGAACATTTTTAATCATTTACTCAAATTTAGTCTGTGGGTTTTTTATATAATCAAGATTTTATGAATAAATTTTTTGGTTGAATAAAAGTGTGTTTTTTCGTTTTCTTTAAGCCTGTAGGGTGAGTATGCTGTAGAACTCTTTTTTTGATAGAAAAACTGATTTTTGGTTTTTGCGTAGTAAATATAGCAAATGCTGTGGTCTTTCATGAATAACAAGCAACCTCTAGAGATATCGGTGTTTCAGCAGTTCGGAGAGAAAGTTTTTGCCATCATAATTTCTGAATTAGTGAAACCTAGCTCGAGTTTCAGGGTATCGAATACTTTTGAGCACTAGTGTAATTAAAAACTATTTCTCTCTGAATAAAGGTTATAATAAAAAATAAAAAAAAACGTTCATCTATTAGTTTCTTGTTCTCTTTTAGACGGTTTTTATTGCATCTATTTCTCCACATCGTCACATCTAACTCTTTTTGTACTACACGATACAAATAGAAAACAAAAGATTGCAAGACATAGCCATGTATCACTCTTATAGATTTATTTCATTCAATGTAAAATCCACGTGTAAGTTTATTTTTTTCCTTTTTTAAAATATTAAATTTTTAAATTTTTTTCTAGACATTTTCGCTCTATTATTCGTACATTCACTTCCGTTCTCTAGTTTATGTTTTGTTTCTGTTATAATACCAGATGAAGATCTCATATATATAAATGAACGTTTACAATTAAAAGTACATATGAATCGTGAAGATGCATTAAATTCAATTATCGAATTAGAAAATTATTATACGGGACTCAAAAATAATTTACATGGTTCACCATCAGAAATGGTTGATGAAGCCTGGCATGCACATATATTAAATACGCCAATGTACTTTCGTTTTTCTACAGCAGAATTTGGTTCATATCTGCATCATATACCATTTTGGTCTGGTAATAGAAAACAGACAGGCCAACTGAATGATGATATATCAATGCTTGAAAAATTAAAAAAATTGGGCATTCAAAATATAAATGAAACTGTCTGGACATATCGATCGAAAAAAATGAAGAACTAGTGGAAGAAGAAAAAAACTAGGAGAACGCCGTAAAAAACTTTCAACTTTCGATAACATTCGCCACTACTTTCCATCTGTTAGCGTCAATGGTGAATGAGTTGTTTCCGTTAACTTCGACGGCTAGATAGTCACTCTATTCTATCCATTGTGTCCGTTCATTTTCATTTTTTTTTAAGAGTTTGAGTTTAAAAGGCAAATAAAGAATTAAAAACTATCAAATCATCTCACTTGTTCACGAAAAGTGCACGTCATTTTCAAAAGAATGTATTCACCGTGAGAGGTGAGGCTTTATCAAAGCAAACTACGAGGATTTGGATGCGGGTGTGCATGGATAGTGCCTAGGGTATGAGTGTTCAACCAATAACATGGTTTTAAACACGATTTGATTTGGATCATCTTACACGAGAAGATACAAATGCTAATCTGATTTTACTTGATGCTCATGGCCTTTATTGGTTAATTCAAGGTATTTGTGAAAATAGATAGCCATGTTGTTGTCAATATGCTCAAATTAATTGTTTAAAACCAACTCAACGTTATTATCATATTTCATCTGATTGGCTTAGGCCGAAAAATAATTTAATTACAATATTTGATGATTCCAGTACACCATCACCTGGGTCACTTGGTCTAGTACAACGTGTTGTTACAAATTGACAAATAAATAATTTCTTCTATATTTAATAGAACGATACGTACTTAGCTGATTTCTGTTTCAATTCATTTTCTCTTCTGAATAAATATATTTTACAGACTTTATTTTTCCAATAAGGTTGTGGAATGTGGATCTAAATAAAAGGAATACCTATACCTCACATCTTCAATGCTGCACTATCCAGGAGAGTTCAGATGTTGGAATTATGTTTCTAGTATCAACGGAAAAGACTTGAAGTCAAAGATTCAAATCATCGTTTGTGAATGACTTTCTACGAGATACAAGAGATGATCCTTTCAACGATCATTGATATTACTCTAGTTGCTCATAGATCTACAATCTGATTTCTTGAATATCAAACGAGTTAGTGAGACAGATTGACTAGATAATATAAACCAAGTAATGAAGAATGCGAAGACTGATTTTTTTTAATCTCGTCTCAATTTTCGATCGCAAGAAAAATCTCGAAAAAAGTTTATTTGATTTTCTTCGACTTCAGTCAATTCTGAGAACAACTTTCTCTACTCGAACTTCAAATTTAAATCTGAAACGTTTTGTTGGTTAACAATGAGGGAGAAATGAAATCGTCTTTTTCTAATTGTCTCGTTGGAAAACTTTAAATTCAATAAAAGATTGTTGATGAATATTCGAATATGTTCTCAAACGAAACAAAAAAACATTGACCGATCAAATTCAAATTGTTCCAACGATATTTTCAAAGAATCAGTTTCGTTGAATACGATCAATTCTTCTCAATGGAGTTTGTGTTTCGACACAGCTTCTTCGTTCGTAGTTAAATGATCAGCAAACAACTAAACGATAATAATCGAACACCGAATGTATCGTTCAGTTTGTTTATGAAACTGCATAAATCAAATTATTCAATGTTCAGCAGTGGAAAGTGACCGATTTTCAGTGATTGTTCTATCGAGTTCATGATTGCAAATGAGGCTCTCTTCATTTGTCAATAGTCGTGTTTTTTTAAAGTTCGACTCGAACAATTTGTCGATATGATCTTTTTTTCGAAAAAGAAAGAAACGTGAACTTTTCCTCGAAATTCAACTTGATGAAAAGACGCGAATTGTCATTTTTCTTCTTCATCTTCATGGATTGAATAGAGATGTTGACTTGAGACGATCATTCGACAAAAATTTCTTTGCACAAAGTGAGTCAATTAAAAATGAACATTAAAAAAAACGAAAGAGTTTAATATCATTATGAATTCTTTCAAAATACAATTCTGATTTCGACTAAGTTTTTGTTCAAATTTGAAATGAAGATCTCGAGAAAAGAATGTCGATTTGAATTGAATGAGATTTATCTCTGATTGATTGTAATCCAAGGAACTTTGAACAGATTCAATTAAATCAATTCGAATGATTTGATCAAAAATGAAACATAAAACAACAATATTCTTCTCAGATGTCAAATGTCTAAGCAACCGTTTGTTAAATTCAACAGTCAAATCTTCATTGATTTTCGTCAAATCGAATGAAGATTATTCCGAAATCATTTTTATTTAGGTCGACTAAGCGTCGAAAATTTTAAAACTTTTTCGAAATGGACTTGATTCCACAAACATGAAGATTGTCTGTCTTGGTTGTAAAAAAGGAGGCAAAAGTGAACTGAAACTTGGCGTACATATTCGGATGCCTAGTCATACATTGGAAAAAATATCAGTCTCATACCTCGTTATCTGTCACAGCTAGAGTAATTTTACTATATATGTTTTCAAGGGTTTTGCATCTCAAGAGAGATGCGGCTGCAATTTAGTGTACTATGAGAACGAGGTATTCCGAATCGATCCTCAGGGTTTCAGCTCAATCCCATCTAATTTGTCTGAAATCATCTTTTAAGAAGAGATGAAACCGAAACTAATCGAAAATTTTTGCCTTGAAGGGAATGGAGACTTAACCTATGCAAATCTTTACAATCTGATATTCTCGAATGGTTGCCCTTGTCTTCAAAAAGCCACATTGAAGGGCATCTACTACACTAAGCTCTTATAGACAACAACTAAATTCTTGAGGGTGTGGGTGTGGATCTTTCATTTATTGACACTCACATCCACATTCTAAATTTATTTTGTTTTGTATTTCCATATAGTTTTGAGTTTATGCATAGAAGATCAATAAAGTAATGTATTTGCATATGAAATATAATTTTCTTGATGTTTAAAATTGGAAAAAATAGAAATAAATAGGAAGAATACAATACTAATTTTTTACGATTACATTTTAATGTTGATTATTTCAAACAATGAGGGTAGTTATTTTTTATTTGTGCTCCATAATTTACGCAATTATTAAGATATAAGTAATAAGTATCAACATTGTCTGAAGTCGTAAGACAATAAAAGCTTCGCTACCATTGAATCTCTATTTTACTTGCCTGATGTTATAAGCAATTTCGCCAAAACTTGTCAATACGATCCAGGGTGTGGGTGTGGAAGAGATGAAGATTCACACCTACACCCTCAAGATTAATTGCAGCTCTATCATGCTTAAGATTTTAATCCGACAGAGATTGTGCTAATGACTTTTTATTTATAGTACAAGAGTCCAAAGACGTAACAAATCTGGGATATAAAAAAATCTTTTCATTTATTGGCATAGTTAACAAAAATAATACGTCAGTAGTTGGGTTTCTAAAGTGCACAGGTCTTCTATCTGTTGTCTATCCAATCTTCAGCGTTCTCTACTTGTTCATACAGCCGATCGAGTTCGGTTTCGTAGACACTAAGTTGTTGCATGTCTTTTCGAAATTCATCAAGTCGTTTTTGGGTGATACAATATGTAACACCATTAGCAATTGTTATCAAAGCAAAAGCACCGACAACTAGACTGATTACCAAAGCACCATGTGATGAGATCGAGTCAAAAACGTCTCTCATTTGTGAAAAATATCCAACAGTTGATGCGAAATTGGAAATTCCATCCAGAACTTGCATGTCGGCATATAAGTCTAACTTTTGTAGCGATCCATTTATTTTTACACGCAAATTGCTGATCAGTGTTTTTGTTTTATTATATTTGGTGGTTGCGCGGCGCATAATTTTTTTCGTTTGTTGTACATTTTCGGATTGCATTGCTTCAACAAGTTGATCGCACATTGTTTTAAAATCTTCAATATTCTGATTGATATTTTCAAACGTTGTAGTGTCATTATGTAAATTTTTTGCTTTTGAAATTTCTTTCCAGACAAAATATAATTTGACGATCTGTACAACGATCAAAACCGATGCCATCTTGGTTGATTTAGTAATCATTTTATCTGCCATTTTTGTTTTGACATCATTTATAGCATTTTTGAAACATGTTTCCATAGACATTGCATCTGAGCACTGGCTAATTTTATTTTTTAGTTCTTGCGCACTGCAACCAAAGTGTCTGCCGTAATCAATATCTCCGATAAATGTTGAATTCTTTTGATGATATTCTAGTGCATCAGTAAAACGTTGATTGTTTTGACCCAAATCGATTATGTTCCTCATAGCATCAAGTGCTTCTTTTGCTTTGATAAAAGTATTGCACGTACCACGCTTTACCCAATGTGTTAATCCACTAAGTCCTCCTGACACGATATAATTGAGAGCTTTTCCGAATGAACTATTCCTTTCTGTTTCTGGTAGCTGCTCAAGCAATCTCGCTGAAACAACTAAAGTTTCAGTTGCTAGATCCATTGAATCCAACTCTTCTTGAGCCATCCTATATAAAATATTAGATAAATTTGGATTTGGATTTTCCTATGTACATCATTTGACTGCTTATATCACTCTTATTGAGTTTAATACTTTATCTTGTGGTATCGAGAGAACAAGTACATTAATTTTCCGATATTAGCGATTTTTGTATGTTTTAATAGCTTCCTCATTTTGGCTCTTTATTCATCGATATCTCTGTATTTTCAGTCATCTCGTTTATATTCTCTTTAAAATCAATGTTGCATGGGTCAGAAAAAAGAACCACTTTCTGTTTTCTATTCTTAGAGCGTAGTGCAAAGACGTTGTTAACAATCATTTTCATTATACACTCTTTGACCGTCAATCCTAACTGCTAGTGCGAAATTAGTGAGTAGCAAGTCGATTTACGCAGAAAACAAATTTCATGAATAAATCATCCGATTTTATAAAGTAGGGCATAGGAAAAAGAGATTCTGAAAAAATTCTGAAATTACTCAAAATTCTTACAACTTATACAGAACTATCCATGAAAAAATACCAAGATTTACTGAGAGACAAGGAACGCATTTCCCAGTAACTTAGTTAATGATTCATAAACCGCAAATAGGGTGTGGGTGGGTGTGAATGTCTCAATGACCCCACAAGACACCCACACCTTCCTTA